AAATAGAACAAACAATCCTAAAATTTGTATGGAAGAAGAAAAGATCCTGAATAGCCAAAGCAATCTTGAGAAAGAAGAACAAACCTGAAGGCAGCCTATTCCCTGATTTCAAACTATATTACAAAGCAATGATAATACAAAGTATGATACTGGCATAAAAATAGACACATAGATCAATGGAACAGAATAGAGAGCCCAGAAATAAACTCACATAAATACAGTCAACTAATTTATAACAGAAGAGCCAAGAATATATAATGTGGAGAGGACAGTCTCTTCAATAAATGGGGTTGGGAAAACTGAATGGCCACATGCAAAAGAATGAAACTGCACTGTGTCTTACACCATATAAGCAAATAACCTCAAAATGGATGAAAGACTTGAATGCAAGGCCTAAAACCATAAAACTAGAAGAAAACATAGGGGAAAAGCCCATTGACATTGGTCTTGGTGGCAATATTTTGAATTTGACACCAAAAGCAAAGGCAATGAAAACAAAAATAAACAAGCAGGGCTGTATCAAACGAAAAAGATTCTGCACAGCAAAGGAAGCCATCAACAAAACGAAAAGGCAACCTACAGAATGGGAGATAGTATTTGCAAATCATATATTTGATAAGGGTAAAATATATCAAGAATTCATACAAATCAATAGCAAAGAAAACAAACAATATGATTGAAAAATGGGCAGAGGAGCTGCACAGGCATTTTTTCCAAAGAAAACATGCAAATGGCAAACATGTACATGAAAATGTGCTCAACACAAGAAGTAAGTATTGGCGAAGATGTGGAGCAAAGGGAACCTTTGTGCACTATTTGTGGAATGTAAATTGATGCAACAACTATGGAAAACAGTATGGAGGTTGCTAGAGGTGGGTGGAGTGGGGCAAAAATGGGTAAAGGTGGTCAAAAGGTACAAACTTCTACTTACAAATTAAGTAAATTCTGGGGATGTAATGTATAGCATGCTGATTATAGTTAACAATACTTTATCATATTTTAAAAGTTGCTCAGAGAATAGATCTTAAAATTCTCATCACAAGTAAAACAAAGTTGTAACTATGTGTGGTGATGAATTAACTAGATTTATTGTGGTGATCATTTTGCAACATATACATTTATTGAATCATTATGTTGTACACCTGAAACTAATATAATGTTACTAGAGGCTAGCTGCACCAATTTGCTCATGGGTGGGGTCCCTCAGCCTGGCCCACAATCGGGCCCTCTCGCCCAGTCCAGATCGGCTGGACACCAGCAGCAAGCTAACCTACTGGTCATAGCATCTGTCCCCTGGTGGTCAATGCGCATCATAGTGACTGGTCGAGCAGTCGACCGAACGGTCAACCGATAGGTCCGATCCTTAGCCTATTACGCTTTTATTATATAGGATATGTCAATAAAAAAAAATGGGAGGTATTTTACTGTCCAGTATGATTTTCTGAATAAGAATAAGGTATAAATTATAAATAGTAATGATTCTATAATGTTCCTGAAGCACATTCACAACAAATATAAGTAATGCACTCATTCATGACACTGGATATCTCTAGGCCTCAATTTCTTCTGCTGTGAAATAGCTATATGTGTTCATTGCTAAAGTGTCAAAAAGGCTAGGATTCCATAGTTTTGGTTGTGTAAAAGCCCAATTTTGAAAAAGTGGTTCTCAGTTGAGTATTAAAAGGTATAATTAAAATAATTGGTGCTTATAAATGACAAATATCTACAATTATGCTGTCATTTTCTATCAATGTCAGACTATGCTTGCTTTACAGTTTATAATTTATATCTGCTTAGCCTTAAAAAAATTGAAACAATATTCAAATGAATAAATGTAAGATATCAAATGTCCCTGAAGTAATTACTAACAGTCAGGAATATCTGCCTCCAGATTTTGTTCTATGTGTAGTTACACAAACACATGTATTATATTTATTTGTTTGTTTATTTATTAATTAACACATGTCTTTTACCATAGTATTCTTCAAGTACTACTATCAAATGTCAACAGACCAACTGTCTTCCATATTTATTATACTCTTACAAAGAATCCAAGCAAACAAACAAACAAAAAGCCTGGTGTAATTTTCCCATAAGCTTCATCTGTGCTAATTTTTGAGAGTGTTCCATCACTTACTGTTTATAAAAGAAAAACTGTGTTATATACTTCTTCAAAAAATGTCTGAGGCAATTTACAAACAATTATAATAAGACTAAAATAAAACCAGAAAGAGCAAAAAATGGGGTAGAAATAGAAGAGATGGAAAAATAGAGAGGGGGGATGAATTTTTCAGGGAACTAGGAAGAGCTGTTTATAAAAACTTCATATTTAAGTCAGCATTAAGATTTTTGACTGTTTAAAAAATGTGAAAACATGGCTTTTTCTTAGTAATTCTTACCAAAGGCTGAGCATACTAATTACCAATAAACAGATAACATTTAAATAAAGGACGTTTTTAAATTCTTTTGAGGTAGCAGTATTCTACCTCAAAATTCTACTTTTATTCCTCAGTCATCTTGCTGTTTTCTGTTCCTTTCTTTAAGAAGTTTTATAGAATGCAAGTAAGTTTTAATAATGAAAACACAAGACTATTATGGTAATGGAAGCAAGGATTAAAAATTGTATCCATGACCAATTCATATCAGTTGTAGTTTTTGATCCCCTGAGCATGATTGATTTTATTTATTGCTTTGTACCCTCCACCCTAGTTATAATCAAAATGAAAACGCCTTCCTCTCTGCTCCCGCTGTCACTGCCCTGGCTGAGGCTCCTGCTTGCCTTCACCTTGGCTGCTCAGAGCATCCTTTTCAGCTGCTCGCTTTGCCTCCAGGGCCTTCCATTTCCAGCATCCCATAAATGCAGCTATATTAATTTTTCTAAAGCTGAGCTATGATTAGGTCTTTTCTCTACTAGCATTCTTTCCTGCCCACTCACTTTATGATAGTCCTGAGTATGTCCTCGATTTCCTCCCAAACTCTCTCTCCTCACGGTGTACCTGGGGATACCCTGCTCTCTTGCCAAGAGGCTTGTTAGTGACTAAATTAAATCTGTGTTTTTCATCGCCGTTCATCGCCTCTAATAAGACATATAAATGAAGACAATAATAAGAACTGAACATGATTACTATGGATGTCACAATTCTTTACAGATATTGTACAGTTTACATTCTCCTCTAAATCTAACAAGTCACACTCATAAGAATCTAAGTTAAGGAGGTATGCTTATATTTATAACCAAAAGTCCAGCACTATCATTTCATATTTACTATATATAAAATTTATTATTTTGCTGCTGATATAAGATTTCCTTTCAGTTGCCAAGGTAAACTAGGCCAGCTGGCAGGATTAGCGCAGGGGAAAGACATACAACCTTGAACTCCCAGACAAACAGAAACAAATGAAACCTAATTTACTGACCTATCTTGTTTATTTTGGTTCAGTCATCAGCATAATATAGCACAAACAACTTTAAAGTAGATATCAGGAGTCCTGGAGTTTAGTCCCATTTCTGCCATGCCCAACTATGCAACTTTCAGAAAATCATACAACTTCTCTGGTCCTCATTTTTTTCATTTACAAAATTGGAATCTGTCTTGCTTTATTCAAACACTATACATGCAAAGGAATTATTACTGTTTTATTTGCCATTCCCTACAACATAGCTCCTTTTCTATATGTTTTCAATTCTCTATTACTTCCAAAACTTTTGTGGACCCCATAATTTCATTCCAATGACACTGAGAATTCTAGAGAAGGAAGCAAACACCAAATATAAGAAATGATGCTCAAATATATTGCTTTCTCGATTAGATAATCTCGTAGGCCTTTCTTAGCTTTAAAATAAGAAGATTCTATATTCAAATTTATATCTGAAATTTACATATTTCTTGTATATAAAGAAAACTTCAGATATATATAAACAATACCCCATCTCCTGAGAAGTGTTTAGACATGCCAAAATTTCCCTGTCTCAGGATTCTAGACCTCATGAAGGTTTAGAATGTCTGTTTCCCTCTCAGGGACATGATACCTTGCAGGCCACCCCACATCTTATGTAGTAATTCACACTACAGTTATTACTTTTATATCAGAATATAGATTTTAGTTTTAAATAAACCTGTGGATTCAAAACAACAAATTACTAAGGCATATTTTATGTTAATTCTTGTATCGCTAGTTGTGACATTAGAGATTCTGAAGAGAGAAAAATCCCACCAATGTCTTCTTGGGAGGGAGAGACAAAGGTTCTCAAAATGCCTATGTTGTGAGATATGAAACTGTATAGTGAAGTATATATAGCACACAGGACAATACAGCAACTGCTTTTTCCAAAAAGTAGGCTGGGCATCCTAATCCAAAGAGTCGACTTTAAAATCAAGATGGCAATCATACTAACTCTCCTTCACCTGCCTAACTCCCCTCCCAAAGTAGACATTGATAAATTGATACCAGAAATCAAACTTCTTTGCCATCCTGTTGTAAAGATTTACCTGGCTGACATCTGACCTAGCTGACACTGCCAAGTTCTTCAGGACAGTTTGCCTGAATTTTCAACAAAGGTACAGTTACAATAAAGGAACAAGGTTTCCTACATTTTGGAGATTATAGAGTCAACTTCATCTGAGTGATTCTGAAGCTCTAAGTAAATGAAAATAGATGCCTCCAAATACACATACGTGAAACATATTTTAGAGACAACCAAAGTAGAGGCAATTTCAGAGTCTAGTCTAAAAATGATATACAATACTTAAGAATTTCTATTCTTCCATATTCAAGTGAGACTCAAGGAAAGAAAAACAATTCTAGCCTACATTTCCCGAACACAAAATACACTGGTAGTTTTAACTGAAATTAAACCTCAATTTTCAAATCTGTCATTCTTTATACAGGAAATAAAAAGTAGTGCTGAGTGATCCAGATAGCAGGGCGATGGGAAAGGTATTTACATGAAGACACTCGAACCCTCTGGAAAGACAGAATGAAAAGAAGCCAGTACTTACTTGGCATAGGCCATTGATGCACATATCCAGGGTGTCTGTGTAGCAGCGAGTCCCATCTAAGACCTTAGGTGCGAGTTCAACAACCAGGTCTGTGCCTTTGGCCTGGCACTTGAGTGCGCAAGGGTTGTCAGGGTCGTTAGACACAGGAAGCCACTCATAAAACTCGCCATGGTGCTTGACATCATTATGAGCTGAGCATTGCTGAGCTCGGAAATCACCTGCTTCTGGTGGGCAGTCCTGGAGAAGGAAGTGGAGAGGGACAAATACAGGCTGAGAAGGGCACACATGTGGTCTTTCAAGGTCTTAGAAAACAAAGCAAATATTCTGGTCATATCATTCAAGAGGTCATATGATTATTTGGCCCTAAGAATGTGTAGATTTGAGAAAGCAATCAGCTTGCAGTATATTTTCTGACTGAAGTTAAATGGGAACTAAGCCAGCTTGAAATAGATCTGATTGATATTAGTTTCGAAAGTAACCACCTTGAAACATACAGTGGGGCCTTGACTTACGAGTTTAATTAGTTCTGAGACCTCGGAGTTTAATTCGTTCGGAGACCGAGCTCGTTAAGGAGCTCGTTAACTCAAATTACTCTGTCAACTCAATGCAAAAAATTGGTCAAGAGACAACTGGTATCTCAAAAAACTCCTTAGTCGGGACACTCGTAAGTCAAGGCCCCACTGTATTTTTGGAAAGATGTTTAGTGGTCCCATGGATTCCTCCACCTTACAATATCATTTTTATTTCCTTATAACTTAGGTAGGACTTAGTAAAATCAGAGAGTTAGCTGAAAGCATCTCTTGATATCAAGAGCTATGACAAGATTTTAGCCCCCAAACAGCAAAAAGTTATGGTAATTTCACTCAAAAATTTTTGTGGGGTTGTTCATGAGGTTTTTTTCTCTGAAACTTAGGGTGCAGAGTATCTAGAGTTAAACATGGTGGACAAAAAAGGTGAAAATAGCATGTATACATGGATTTCTTTAGCTTAAGGCAGCATGGCAGAGTGGAAAGGTACAGATATCCTCTTCAGATGGGAGTGTGGCTGCACAGCGTGGGTCTCACTGATCCTAGGTTTCCTTATGTTCAGAGCAGAGGCAACAATAGCACTCAGTTCTCAAGGTCATTCACTGTGAGCATTTCATGAGCTCATGTTGGCCAAATACTGGCACAAGGAAGATAGTACATGGTAGCTAATACTATTTAATGAAGCCACTGACGAGAGAGAGTTGGAGAATGAGATTTTCTGAATTTGAATATTAAATAATGTTGGCAAAGACCAGAGGAAAACAAGAATGTTTTAATGTACATTTTATAAAGGGCATTTTAAAATGTAAAACTATAGCAATCACTATTATCTAGTAAACTTGAAAGCAAATATGATTTAACTTTAAGGCAAATGTTGGCTATTCCTTGTACCAGTTTTGATAGCTCCATTTTTTTCACCATGTGTTCCGATTAGAATGAACTACACAGAATATCCATCTGTGGAAAGGCTTTTGTCCTAGTTTGTATCTGAAATACAGAATGAGCATGTGCTCTTTATCATTTTTGAGAGTTCTCTTATACAAGTTTTCTTCTCTGAAGAACTCCTTACATTTAAATAAGCATTCTGAGATTAGCATTAATCTACTTTATAAAATGGAATTTTTGACACTTTAACACATTTTAGTGGTATTTAAATAGCATATAAGGCTGTAATATTTGGGGAAGCATACATTTTTTTGACAAGATGGGGCATAACAAAAATAGATCAAAATATAATATAAACTCTCAAAGGCATATTATTGCTAGCATTACATATGTTCTCAGAGTTAATACATAGTACTAAAGAAGAAGAATAATTTCTAAAACCTAGATATAGATATCTAGGCATATGTGATTTTGAATACTGCCTGAAAAAGTAAAATTAAAATTCATTACTTATTAATTTCTTAAGGGTGAGCTACATATTAAAAGTTTTAAAAAGATAAATGTGTGTTATACGTTGTTGTGATATTTACTTGTTTGTTGTGAGAAGTAAAATGAAAACCACAACCTGCAAAACTATGCTCTGAATCACAACACAGGTAATTTGTACGACAGGTAACACAACTAGCTGAACTTCAGTGTTTCAATACCAGCTCCTTTCAGACCATGCGTTCCAAGATAAAAGTACAAACAAATGAATTTAACATGAACTCTTTGGATTTATTTTCCAACAACAAGAATGCAACTTTCCTAGATGACAAATCCTACCAGTCTCTGCCTAAACCTCACTTACTAGCTTCTGTCCTAAAGGAACCCTGTGACTAATCATAGCCCCCAAACTACCATCCTTGTCCCCAAATTTTCATCTGAGACACTACAGGGACCCCTTGCTTATTAGCAAGTTTAATAAAACCAACTTCATACAGTCAGCAAGTTTCCCTGGTGGCCACTGCATGAGAGCTTCCACGAGAATGGATAGTTTAATTAATAATCTATAATAATAAAAGAGTAATATGCTAATTAGACCAGATGTCCTTCCAGATGTCCTTCCTTCCAGACAAAGCCGCAGCAGGCGGGGGCCGAGGCAGAGGTGGCCACCACGGTAGTGGGGGGCCAAGGCCCTTGCAAGAATTTTGTGCATTGGGCCTCTAGTGTTTAAATAAAGTGTTTTCAGTTGCATATTACCTTTCATCCCAAGAATCACTTGACAGCACAGAAGAAATATTGAAATGACTCAATAAAACATAACATAGAGGAAATTGTTTAGAGTGGTCCCCGGCCCCTTTCATAATTACTTTTACCTTCTTTATCTATAAATACAAGTGAACCAACTACAGGGAATTCTGGGTCAGGCTGAATTACCTCTGCATTACAGTAATAAGGATAATATCTAATTAAGAGATGTCTTGGTATGCACAGAGAGAATTTTCTGCATTTATCCAATTCCAAGAAAAGAGTATCAATTACATTTTTAATTTGATGTTACATCATCTTAGTGCAGACATAAAACTCCCAGAGTCTCTCATGAGTCCTTTTTGTTCAACAAAATATATGAGTCTTCCCATCTTTACTAAAATACATAAGATTCAAAGGTAGAATTACTAAATGAAGTTAAAATATTTGAACCTTTAGGTTTTCTTTTCTGTGACAGAAGCAGTAAACTTATTTAGACATATCACAGAGAACCAACAAGCAGACAACTGCTCCTGTTCAAAATTCACCTGCACCTATTAGTTAGAAGAACACGTGCTATAGGTTTTATGAACTTTCACAACTGGAGATACATCTCTGAGAATAATTTATGTGAATAACTTGACTTTTATCACTATCGTCTTTCCTTCCACCCATATTTTTGTAGGGGTGGCTAACTATATTTTGCTAATTTGAGAATGCACTTAAAACCCGGAGTTCAGAGTTAGAAACTGAACTTGAACCTTTTTACTGTTTGAGTTTATTTGTACTTGGCAAAATGCAACTTCCTGTTTTAAGAAAAAGGACTTGAGAAGACTTATAAAACAGGTTTAGAAAGCTTCTTGGACATCAAGTGGCTCTTACAAAATAACATTTTGATGATTTAAGTGTAAATGAATTAGAAACATATGAATCAAATTTCCCTTGAAATACACGTTTAAAAATTAAGGAAAGAAGCGTTTGGCAAAAGTTTCTTTTGTTGAATCCAAAACATCCCAAGCATAGTTCAAGACACTCGCTGAACTCCCGATGCCTCTGGGATCACCCAGCTGCAGAAGTGGAAACTCAAGCAGAGTCATCACAGACTCTTGTCCCACGGGCATCATCACAGCAGAGTTTCTTATTTGTACAGAGATTCACCATGAACAATGTTTTAAAATATAATGTGGTCTGTGAAACCACTCTGCTTCCTGGTCCTCCTAACAGTCAGATTTAGAAACTGATGTTCTAACTGCTTTGAAAAATGTTTAGCACCTTATCCTGGGCATCACCTTTGAAATGTCAGCTTCTGAAGAGATGCTTTATGATCGCACAAGTCATCAGTTCTGACCAAGACAGGTGGTTTTCCTTAGGGCAGTGGTCGGCAAACTGCGGCTCGCGAGCCACATGCGGCTCTTTGGGCCCTTGAGTGTGGCTCTTCCACAAAATACCGACTTCTGCGCATGGGCCACGAAGTTTCAATCGCACTGTACGTGCGCGCCCGCTTGTGGTGTTTTGTGGAAGAGCCACACTCAAGGGGCCAAAGAGCCGCATGTGGCTCGCGAGCCCCAGTTTGCCTACCACTGCCTTAGGGTATACTGAAAGTACGGAATATATTCAATGTGAGATTTCTGTTCTAATAAAACCTTAGTGGTAGGAAATCAAGAGTTTTCAACTTGGATAATTAAAACAAAGAAGAAAACAAATAAATTATTATGTATATGTTTAGGCACTGAACTTGGCTCGTAGGTAATAATGATGAAGACAATTAAAATCACTGGAAGTTTAATGTCTATTTGAAGCAAACACTTCTTCCCCCCCTCCACACCCCCCTGCACAAGGACCTGGCATAAAACATGCTGTGGGAAGGATGCACTGGACTAAAGACCCCACCTTCCAGCCTCTCATACGTCTCCAGATGTACCATCCAGCAGAAATAGAGCAAGAGAGAGCAAAATAATGTTTCTTGGCCATTTGTCTATTTCCAACTAACAGTAATATATCTGTGGATTGGCAACTCTGGGTCAGGCTACTGAGCTAGGACTTTCTCACTCTGAAAAAAAAATATTTTATTAAAAATAGTCAGATAGCCGAAACCGGTTTGGCTCAGTGGATGGAGCGTCGGCCTGCGGACTGAAGGGTCCCAGGTTCGATTCCGGGTCAAGGGCATGTACCTGGGTTGCGGGCACATCCCCAGTAGATGTGCAGGAGGCAGCTGATCGATGTTTCTCTCTCATCGATGTTTCTAACAGTAATATATCTGTGGATTGGCAACTCTGTAGAAAATCAATAAAGTATATTTAAAAAAAAAAAAAAAAAAAAAAAAAAAAAAAAAATAGTCAGATAATCCCATGAATTACTGTATTTGGCCATTTCATACAATATATTTTTTCTCTCCAATTTTTAAAAATCCAGTCCTAACCGTGTTAAGAGTTTTCTTCTTAAAAAGCACAAAAATAAAATCTGGCCTTTTATATGTTCCTATCATAATTCATAAAGTCCGTGGAGTCCTGCCATATAGGAATCCAATTCAAAACATTTTCTGGTTAATCAACTAGCCAGTGGGAAAGATAAGATGGATCCCAGATGTCCCCTGAT